ATCAAAAGAGAAAGATATGACAAAATTACTAATGGTTGCTCAGATCCACCTTTCCTCGTGCACAATCAATCAACAAATCCGAGGTTGAACTTGGTGAACGGTAGCACACACATGGGCAATTTATGGCTAACAGATCGATAGTTTACTGTTTCGCTTCTAACTTTTTTGGAACCCAATTTAGATGCGGTTTGACCTAATTTTCGACTCCTATTAATATAGAATTTGGGCTAACTTTCAAAGGATATCTCTAACCTCTTAATATACATACATATCATAAAATTCATCAAAAACAAGAGTCATAATTCACATCTTTTGGGAGAGAATATCAACCTAGCAAGCAATTGAAAGCCAATTACATCAAGAACTTGAAAATTTTGAGATTGGAATTGAAGATCAAGATCTCTTGCATTCATTCATGTTCCGGGTGACATTTATTCATTATTCTTCTTGTAATTTATATAAAATCATGCTATGATAGATCCTTGTTTATATTGGATGAAGATGAACCATTTTGCTTATTTATTTGAATTCAAGACAAGTAGTTTAATAGTTTTTGTTTTTCTTGATTAATCTTTCATTCTCGTTGCATTATTTAATTGATTGGCCACCAGTTGGGTAATTAGTTGCTTATTGTATCGATGAGAGACTTATAATAAGTTTAGAACACTGGATGATTAACATATATGTTAGGAATAACATATATCATGCGTGCAATCTTATTGATAGTTGTGTGTTTAAATGCATTCTATTCATATGAATTCAAACTAAAAATAGGATTGGGACGTATCTAGAATAGACTTAACTTATCTTGGAAAAGAAAGTTCAATACTATAGATTTATCGATTCATGTAAAAAACGCATGAATAAAATTGGATTACATAATTAACAATTGAAATAGATAGCAATACGTGGATTCGAAAATCTAATACAATCTTTCCATTTAAGTTTACAAACCAAGCTTTTATGTACATTTTAGTTAGGATAATCACAAACAATAATCTCTTTTGTGTTACATATTTTGAATTTAATAGAAAAGTAGTACAATTGAATTAGAATTTATTCTTTGTGAGACGATACTTAGCTCATCACAATTATTATTTGTCAACGATTTTGTATGCGTGTGAGATTTATTCGAACACGATTCGCCACCATAAAAAAAGATTTNGTTGGGTAATTAGTTGCTTATTGTAACGATGAGAAACTTATAATAAGTTTAGAATACTGGATGATTAACATATATGTTAGGAATAACATATATCATGCGCGCAATCTTATTGATAGTTGTGTGTTTAAATGAATTCTATTCATATGAATTCAAACTAAAAATAGGATTGGGACGTATTTAGAATAGACTTAACTTATCTTGGAAAAGAAAGTTCAATACTATAGATTTATCGATTCATGTAAAAAACGCATGAATAAAACTGGATTACATAATTAACAATTGAAATAGATAGCAATACGTGGATTCGAAAATCTAATATAATCTTTCCATTTAAGTTTACAAACCAAGCTTTTATGTACATTTTAGTTAGGATAATCACAAACAATAATCTCTTTTGTGTTACATATTTTTAATTTAATAGAAAAGTAGTACAGTTGAATTAGAATTTATTCTTTGTGGGACGATACTTAGTTCATCACAATTATTACTTGTCAATGATTTTGTATGCGTGTGAGATTTATTCGAACACGATTCGCCACCATAAAAAAAGATTTCTTCTTTTTTTTTTTTTGCATTTTTGCTCACTGCAGCAGCCCGCTACCCTCGCTATATATCAATACCACACAATATATGCTAGTTAGTAGTATTGTAAAATCCCATTACGTTGCATTACGTGGTCAGTTTCTAAGGATGGCTATAAATTGAGGGAGAGAGCTATATGTTAGGTCCATTGCTTTAAATTTGTCACTGTTTTAGGCAAAACAAACAACAAACAACGAACCAGGTCCATTTCCTTAAATTTGAAATCGACTGTGCTGATATCAAGAAGCCAAAAATTGAAGTAATTATCATTATAACATATAATTAGACGTAAGGGTTAAGAAATATAGATCATAATTATGCCTCGAACATGAAAGACAAAATCCAAAATTTGCCAAAAACTTCAAAAACCATGTACTAAGATGTTGATTACTAATTTCTACAATTAAGGTTTAATGCATATATTTGTTAAAAATTGAGATTCCATCTTAAAATGTCAACCTTATTAAGAGAAGTAACTCAATTTTTTTATAAGTTGGTCTTTGTTTTCATCTTTATTTGATGTGGAATTTTTATTCCTTAACATGCCCTCACAAGATGGTGGCTCGTTTGAGCAGACCAATCTTGAAGTTCGTATGCTCACTTTTGGAGTCTTAACAGGATCGAATTGCTCATTAGAGATTAATAGGCTCTGATAAGAATTGAAGTTTCATCTTAAAATGTCAACCTTATTAAGAGGAATAACTCAATCTTTTTATAAGTTGGTCTATGTTTTCATCTTTATTCAATGTGAAATTTTTATCCCTTAACAATACTCAACCAACTAAACATTTATTTTAGCCCATTGATTAATAAATTAAAGATTAATCTAACCAACTAAAATTGTGAAGGAGCAAAGGTAGTTAAAGTTACGTATTCATAATTATTATTCGTTTATTATTTGACACATTTTATAAAATTCACTATTATTCTTCTTTTTAAACGATTGATAAATTTGCCAAATGGAGTGTTAATAAATTCGCTAAATTTCTGCAATGGATACGACTAAATACCATAGTAAGGCCCTATGTGGGAGGGATTGGATTTTTCTACAGTAAATCAATTCTCATTTTCAACCACACATTCTTCAATAAAATAATATTCATCATCACATCAATAATTTTTTCTTCTTTTTCAACCATACATTTCTCATCATCTCACTCTTCA